CATATTCTATTCTATGAACTGCCCAAAATGAAAAACAAAGAAACTAATTTGAGAGATCCAAAGTTTAGCATCCAAAAAAAATAATAATAAAATCCATCCAATAAAGCTGACTCCCAACCACATTTTTCTGTTTGCTTACTAAGAAAATTTACAACAACAAAAGAAACCAATATTTAAATACCAAAATTTCTCTTTTTCTACCACTGGGAGAAGAAAATAGTTAGTCATTAATAAGTGTCCTGCTCTAATGATGGGAATGGGCTAGATTACAGATGAGATGATAAAAATAAAGCAAAATTGTACAATATTATCGATGGTGAGATCAATTTTTTAGAATCTTTTGCATACTATTGTTGTTGCAATTTTTTTATGTCACTACACTGTGTCAATTTAAATTTATCATTTTGATTCAAGTCAATGTAGGTAGATGATTAATTAATAATATGTCTACACATGATTTTACTAGTTGTCTTTTTTTTTTTTACATTGATGATTTTATTTAGTATAATTTGTGTCTTTTCTGATTTAGACTGTTGCTTGTATCATTATAACAATCTTATGAGAAAAACCAATGAATATTTTTTTTGCATAGATAATGTCGGGTTTCGAAAAATTCTGCATTCAATATGATTTTTAATATGCAATTAGAGTTATACATGAATCACCTTAGAAGTGTAATTCTAACTAGGAGTTCATTACATATAAAGGTTGTAATGATTAATGATTGTGAAATTAAGTCTTATTTCAAAGCGCGTAAAAAAGGAAGAAAGAGGACAATATAAATGCCTGAATAAAAAAAACTCGGATATCACCTATCGAAGAGAATGCTAACTTAATTGGAATTATGATTGAGAATTAGCTCATTAGGGATTTTACACATTACTATAGAATGTGGGTTATAATACAAATAAGACTAATTAAAAATTGAAAGATGGACATGTTTTGTAATTAGTTTGAATACGATCGGGTGTGCTTTCGACTTTCGTTAACAAAAGAAAAACAGCATGACTAGGTTTATAGGGGCAAATAAACCTCTAGCATTGTAAGAATTTGAGCCAAACATGCAAACAATGCAGCTTCCAGTACAACATCAACTTTGAAGAAAGAGACAACTATAGTAGGACACGAGAGCAAGGGGAGTGCATTAGATGAGGAGAAGATGCTTAAGATATCATGAGAGAAGGTTCGCGGAAAGTGATTGAGGATCTCTCAAGCCCTCTGCTTGTATGACTTTTTCAACAAGTTGTAACTCTTGTTTTTCTGAATGTTGAGAAATCTGTTGAAAATTATGGTCCATCCGAAAACATGCTTGATGTTGGATATTATGTGTGCGATAATTTAGTTTTGAAGAAGCTCCAAGAGCTTTTTGTCAATGTTTAAAACTGTTATTTGCTATTTGAAGCACATTTTATCAAATATTTTATCCCATTTAATTGGTTTACTAACTTGTTAATTACTTTGATCAAATTTGATCGAATATATTTACTTTTAAATAGCTATCCCTTTTCCATGAATATCTATATGATATGTTGAGTAGCCCTGGTTGTGGACAAATGACAAGGTGAACCTGCCCAAAAATAGAAAAAGGTGCTCAGGTTCGATTTTGGTGTGACAGTTATATGAGTAAAAGAAAATGGCTTTTAAATTTACGATATAAAATGGAGTCTCATTTTCTATGCACAAAAGTTCAATATATTGACTTGAAGAACATTCAAAAGATCAACTATATAGAGTTTTTACTATAGATTACCATACGTATAGTTGTACTACCCTATTAGGAGATTAGACAAAAATGAGTTAATGGCAAGAAACACCATCGTACACAAAGGATTCATAACGACGATTATAAGTTACCAAATAGGTTATTTTTGTTCATAAACTTAGCTCAAAATATAGTCATATCTTGCGATATATGGCTACATAGGTCAAAATAAGTATGTTTGTATTTGATTAACAATACTAATACCGCTTATCATTGGGGGAGTACATTTTACCATTTGTTGCTAGACAGCTACGGTGGCTTCTTATTCTTTAATAACCGTTGTGTATTAAATTGTATTTGTGCTTCCATGGGAACAAGGCAATTTTCTGGACATGGTGGTGCATTTGCATTTAATATTTATCTATCAAATATCCTACATATCAAAATATCTCATTCTTTTTCACATTGTACAGTAAGCCACATATAATTTTTTTACAAATATATCCTTGTTATTAAAATTATTTCATAATTTTGTACTATAAAAATAATATTATAACTATAATTCAAAATGATTCACGTGTACATTAACTAGTACCCTTAAATGTCATTTAAAAAAGTGTTTTAAAGCCCAACCCGACGGGTCAACTTGCTGAACCGATGCTCTAACCGGATTGATTTTATTAAAACACCGTTTAGGTAAAAAATTCAGGATAAACCTGTTAAATCGGTCAAAAATCGGTAGACTTGGGAGAATCGGATAAATTTACCGAACCGGCCGATTTAATTTCATTTGTATAAATATGAGATTTTTTTCAGCATTTTTTACCCATTTTGTTTTGCGAGCGCACAGCCTTCACTCCAGCACTAGCAGCTATCAGCCTCCACCACCAACGATTGACCAACGAGCAGCAGCGATCAGACCCTATCGCGGAGACTTTAAAAATCCAATCTCTTACGCGGCTGCTACTTTTTACCTAATTTCCGATTATCTCTTCTTCTTCTCCTTCTCTCTCTGTATCTGTTTGAATATGTGTAAAAATATCTAGATTTCTTGTGGGTGTGAATATTTAGGGCTATGTTTTCTGTTTCAATAGCGATTTGGTTTCTACCTATCGGTTCTGTCTCGTTGATTTGGTTCTGTTTCGTTGATTTGGTTTTTCTTCTGAAGATCTAACAGCTCGGTGAGTATTTTTAATTTGATAGTTGTTTGATCTGTTGTTTATTTGTTCTTATAATTTATAGATATGCTTGTTTTTTGGTTATATAGTGTCGGTTATGTAGATCTGTAACAAATTAACAAAGAAAAAGCTTGGGCTCTGGTAAGAAGTTAGATTTGAGGAGTGGGTGTGTTCCTTATAGTTTATGTATGGTTAGAATCTAGGGTTGAAAAACTTGAGAGCATCTTCATGTTGAAAATTGTTATGTCCTTGTCTTATTTTCTGTTGTCTGATATAAAGATTGAAATTGGTCTCTGAATTTTAGATGGTATGCTCGTGTGCTTTGACTCTTTATGCTGAAATTTATTTTGTTTTCATGTGTCTTGCTTACTACGGTTGGAGTTCAAGTTTGAGCTTTGAAGAGTACAAATTAAGATGGGTTAATCTCATTTTATACTTCGAAAGATTGTTCGAATCTTAATTTACACCCTGAAAGATTAAAAATCTCAATTTACACCCTTAAAAATAAAAATTTGTATCAATATGCACCCCCAAAGATAAAAAAATCTCAATTTACACCCTCAAAGATATAAATTTATATTAATGTGCACTCCAAAGATAAAATATCTCAATTTGCACCCTCAAAGATAGAAATTTGTATCAATATGCACCTAAAACTAAATTGATAAATTATACCTAGATTCCTTCATACTTGTCATTTAATCATTTAGACCTCTTCACATTTAAAATATTACTCTTACATCTTATGACATTTGTGCACGTATAACACGTAACTCATTTTCATTGATATCTATTAATATAACCGTTAAAAAATATAATTTTATCTTAATAAAAAATTATAATTTCATATTACCCTTTATTTCATGGGTTCAATATATTCTAAAGTTCAAAATTTAGTTTACCATTTGAATGTCTAATAAAATGTAAATATTTATATAATGTTTTTCATATTACCTTTTATATAAATATCTACATTTTATTAGACATTCAAATGGTAAGCTTGATTTTCAACTTTAGATTATATCGAATCCATAAAATAAAAGGTAATATGAAATTATAATTTTTTATTAGGATAAAATTATATTTTTTAACGATTATATTAACAGATATCAACGAAAAGTGGTTATGTGTTACACATGCACAAACGTCACGAGATGTAAGAAGAATATTCTAAATGTGAAGGAGTTCAAATGATTAAGTGACAAACATGAGGGGATCTAGGTATAATTTATTAATTTAATTTTAGGTGCACATTGATACAAATTTCTATCTTTGAGGGTGTAAATTGAGATTTTTTATCTTTGGGGTGCACATTGATATAAATTTATATCCTTGAGGGTGCAAATTGAGATTTTTGATCTTTGGAGGTGCACATTGATACAAATTTCTATCTTTGAGGGAGTAAATTGAAATTTTTGATATTTGAGGGTGCAAATTGAGATTTGAACAATCTTTTAGGGTGCAAAATGAGATTAACCCAATTAAGATTGATATATGGTCGAAGAGTTGGATTTAGACTTAGAGCCATGAACTTCAATAGAGGAATTGTATTGAAAATTGAATACATTAAAATTGGATACATGTTTGATGAATTTTCTCTACTTAATTTTACATGTTTGATGTTATTTATATAATTATTATGATTTTTTAGTTAATTTATTATTACTTATAATTATTTTTTAATTTTTTATTATATTACCGATCTAATCAGTGGCCCAACAGTTGAATCAGTGATTTATTGACCCGGCCGGGTTTTAAAACTATGTTATAAACCCCTTTCCCTTTCAATTTATCCAACTACCCAAAAAAAAAGGAATTAGTAGTGCAATTGTCATCAGTTACAACAGAAATTTAAAGCCGCAAGAGACAGGCTGAAAGTTCGAAGAGAAACCAAATATGCTATTACCACAAGCTCTGCAACCTTAATCCCTGCACTACACAGAGTGCTTCTCAATCCCAAGAACATTGCAAGAGCACTTTAAAAATTCAGCATCGCGTTAAGGTAGAAAGACTGAAGTTATAGCAGGTGCTCCAGGGAAACTAAAGACCACCTATCCTCAGTTTGTGCAAATACTTTTTCATTAAAAGATTCTATTATTATGCTTATGTTACCAAAGCCATTAATCATCTTGCATTCTGCCGGGTTTAGGCTTAAATACCAAACCATTCTGCTGTGCATGGACTTCAATAACTTCTTTCAAGCTCATCTCTAGCCCACCACCCAAGCCCTCCATCTGGGTTACACTACCAACGCTTGCGGAAGATTGTTGATGAGCTTGCGCAGCTGCTTTTTGCTGAGCCTCAAACTGCCTTTGTTCAACCAGCCTGAGAGAATTACTGTCCTCTATAAAATCAGGGTGGACCACCTCCATGTCTTCACTAGGGCTAGCCATAAAAATCGGGTAAGAATGCGGAATACCCATTAATTTTCTCATTCCTATCCTATCTTACCCGTAAAAAATATATTTAACTTTTTTAGTAATTATAAGAGTATTTGTGTAGTATAATTTATATTATAACATTGTTATTGTAGTGGATGTCTGAGTTGCGAAAATATAGACTTATTTTTTTGTGTAGGTTACATGATTTGTGGTGAATTAGTGAAATATCGGAGTAGTTATAATTTTAATGTGTTTCATATGGTTTAAACTTAAAATAATTGTTTGTATTTGTATAACAATTATGATGAATTGATATTCATGTTTTCTTATGTTTTATTGTAATTGTTGTTATAGTTGTTTTAGGTTTTAGTGTTATTGATTTATTGTATTGTTAAATTGGTGTATGTTATTCAATTGAATTGTTAAAATGATCTAAAAGTTAATAGTTACAAAAGTGTTTACCTTATTTCCTATCCGATTATTCGGATATGAATATCACACCTGATCGGGTAAGATAAGTCAAGAAAAAATTTTCCCATAAAATATCGGGTAAGAAGACGGAAAATAATATTTCTTATCCGTATAGTATAGTAGAGTGAACACAGGAGCCTGGTTCATCATGTCCAAACCCAAAATAAGCCGATATTGAATGTGTTCATTTGCCAGAAGCTCGGGCGGAAGAAGTTCCTTCCAACCCAAGTACCATTGGGCCACTTGTTCAAAGTTTGGATTAGAGCATAACCAATTATACAAAACTTCTTGCCACTTGTTGAAGAACACGTCCATTAACAGCACCATAAGGTGAATGGGAATAGCAGTGGCCCAAGTCCGAATCCAATAGAACTGATCCAAGGCCGGCCCAACACAAATTTGGGCCTAAAGCAAGAAAATATTTTATAGAAATACTTTCAAATTTTTAATGGCTTTGGGATCGAGTAGGATCAAATGTAATTGTGAAGTCAAGATCTTATAAATGAATAAATTGAATAAAGTGAAATAACAATATAGCTAAATATACGGTCAAAAAAATCAGATCATGACAATGAGACTGGAAATGAGAGAAAGGGTTGGAGAGAAGCGATGAGAGTGGAGGAAAAATTAATGTAAATTTTTTAGAGAGATTGCTACTTTTAAAGGTAGAAGTCATTAATTTTAGATTTTTTTAAAAAACTTTGTTATATTTTAGAACTTTTATTTACATAGACTTGTAAAAATATTATTACATTTTAAAGTTTTCTATAACGCTTTAGATAGACTTGTGAAATATATTTTGACCTTTAACTTGGTCTTTTCAAAAGGGCCTCAGAACTTGAAGTTAAGCAAAGGGGTGACAATTAAATTGAATCTCTAAATTTTTTAGACTCTAGACGACTATTTTAATGGTTGAGTCCAAGGGTCAGCCCTAATGTGTCTCCTCTTATTTAAAAGATTGAAATATTTGTGCATCTCGCAATAATTGTAGTTTTTACTCGTCCCTCATTATCAAGTCTTTGTCCATGAAATTGATTAAGTGAGACAAATTGATTATTAGATGATGCACAAGGATTAAAAGTAATATATGTATTATTTTATATTTTATGCATTTTTATTGACTGTTGTAAGATACAATCACAATAAAGATATTCAATATTATAATGTGGTGTCATATAATTTTTTTTAGTAATTTAGGCATCTAATATATAGTAAACATTATTGAAATTTTTTTTATATTAACTATTTTTTATTTTGGATCCTTTATGAAACTGAATAATTTAATTAGTTGGTATTGTTGTATTTAAACGAAAACAAAAGTGAGTTTAATAAATGGTGTTTTTTTGGAAGAGAGATACTTATTATACTTTTTTATCTAAGTGTTAACCTTTTTTTGCCCTTTAATAAATTTGGAATGTACTTTTGGACTTAAATTTTAAATTTTATTTTTTTGACATAATTTTTATGTTAAGCTAAATTATAATAAAATATAGATCAAAATATATTTGATCTATATTTTATTATTGACCTCAAAAATTTTTGGGCCTTTTTTATATGTGGGCCTAAACCCCATGCTTTTTGGGCTCTACTGTTGAGCCGGCCTTGAACTGATCAAATTTCTGATCTGCTGGATTTATTTCGAAATCATGCATGACAGTCAACAATTTTGAAATGATATATCGGACCATTAGTTTTTCCCAGCTGGTTGGATCAAACACAGTCTTCCACGGTGACAATATACGGTAGGCAGCCATATTACGAGGATACCAAGCATCAAGAACTCTTCCCAATCTATTACGTATTGTATGATAGAGACCCTGAACCTCCAACTTCTGTCCCAATAATGGTAGCCTTGGACGCACCCACTTATGGATAGGAATAGTTTCCCGACGTGGGTCCCATGACTCCACAGCAGCTGATAATTTTGGCAAAATTACATTGTCCAATATACTCTGGAGGGTGGAAGGAGGCAGCAGCCTTTCCCAAGACTCCAAAAAACGAAGCATGGGTTCAGGGTCCCTAGCCTGCCAAGTGTTGGTGGCAGTTATCCCCACAGCAGGGAATACAACTTCCATAAACAGCTGAGTGTAGGGGGAGGCTGCATCAGAGAAATCTTCACCTTGCAGCAAATTCTTCCACAATGACATCACTTCCAATCCATGTTTTGGATTTTGAAGTGGGTCCCATCCCTGAAATACTCGAATAAACAAAGGCAGAGCAAATGAGCAAGCAATGCATGACAAATTACAAGGTTTGTAATCTTCAGCATATCTCCTCTGCAAGTCCCCAAATGACTTTGCAAGGGAGTCGAGAGTCAATTTTCCCAACGAATTCACTGTGCCTATCTGGTCCAACACACTAACTATTTCTTCCATACTATCCAGCTGTTTCTTTTGGCGAGCCACATCAATTTGAAGCTTCTCCTTCTCCTTTTGCAATGTAACCACAGTCTCCCTCTCGTTTCTCAAATCTCGATCTATTTTCTGTATATCAAGCTCTGCTAAGTCAACAATCAATCTCATGTTATGCTGAAACTCAGGCATGGGGACATCGTTTTCCTTTGCTTTCTCTTCAGCATCCAAGTTCTCCAAATTTGTCAAAACATGAACCTGCGGTCCTCTCATATCAAAAACCTTCTGAACTACTTCAATGCCCTGCTCTTGCTTCTGGGCCAACAACTCTTCTTGCGTAACATAGACCTTCTTATTCTGCCGACCTTGCTTTGACCAAAGCTTCTCTTTTGAGAGACCCTCAGTGGCCCTACCCACATTAGGCGCCGACTTCTTCTCCTCTACTTCCTGCAATGCTGGCAAATCAGACTTTCCATAACCCATTCCCATAAGCTTCGGCCGCAACTTAGCCTCAATAGGAGCAACAATACCTTGCTCGTTTTTACCAAGCTCACCTCCTTTGTAACCCATCTTCTCAAGTAACTTTCTCCCGATCCCTTTGGTGTGCTCCTCAAATCGACCAACACCACCAAGCTCCGGTTCTCTCCTTCCCACTTGGGTGGCTTTCTTGGCCAATCTAGACTACTCCTTTTCCCTCTCACGGCGCCGCTCTGCGCCTTCCCTGATCTTCTTTCCAAAAGCTGTTGGTAGAAAGACATCTCCATCATCTTCTTGGTCTGCTCCATTTTCAGTCACTGCAATCCTGGAAGCACTGGAATGAAAGCCTAGGCCAGAAGAGCAAGAACCGGATGCTCCGAGCCCCAAACCAGAAGTCTTGTTCTCCTCCTCAGCAGCATCAACATTCTCCTCTTTCAAATTGTCATCAATTTCTTGGTTGGGTATGACAGTGCCAGTGGAGACGAAATTGACAGGCTTGGTGAAGTGCGATTTCTTAGAGAGATCTTTCCTTCGCTTCCTTGTACTAGAGCCTCCCCCGTTGTCAGAGTCACTGTCATCAGAGGCGAAGACACGATAGAGAACATCGTCTTTGGTCTGAACGCCTTTGTCTTTTCGCTTCCGGTGGTAAAATTCCCCACCAATCCACTGACCGTCTTCGTAATCGTTCACCATCTCAAACTTCTCCATTTCCTGATAATCCTTCATACTCGTCTGTTTCCCTCTGAAACAAATACATGAAATAATAAATGCTATTGCAAAAAAGGTTTTCCAAACCAAAACAAGTAGTAGAAACAGGAAAGAACTCAAAAACCCAATTATAATCTCTACATACAAAACCCACATCACAAATTCTTAAAATTCAAGGAAAAAAAAAACTCAAGATTGATGTATAATCAAACAATTCGAAATCAAAGGAAAATTTCGTAAACCTCGAGTTCCAAGATTGAATATTGCAAGCAGGTCGGTCACACAACCAGCTTAAGGCGATTTCGAAGACGATTTAGTCAAACCAAGTTTTACTTTTTTTGAAGAACTACTCCAGTGTTTTAAAGAACTGAACTACTCGTGTTTTAAAGAACTGAATTACGCCCGTGTTTTAAATAACTACTCCTAGAGTAGTTCTTTAAAAAAAGTAAAACCAGTGTTTTAAAAACCGGCCTAGTCCGACGGGTTGACCCGGTAAATCGGAGCCCAAACCAGGTCGATTTGGTCATTAGATCGTTCAAGCAATTGAACCGGAAAAAATCCAGTGAACCAGACGGTTTTATAATTAACCCGAGGGATCGGACGGTTTTGAAAAAACCGGACGGGTTAAAATAAATTCTATAAAAATCAGACTTTAGGGCATTTTGCCCAAAATTGGTCGAGCCTCACTCCTCAGTGCGCCTGCTCTCCTCTTCTCAACGACAACGACGACGACCGACTCATCTCTCTCTCACACTCGAAGACTCAGATCTTCGATCTTCCTTGATCCTTCAATAGAGACCGGTGTTCCTTGTTCGATAGATATCTCTTCCATTGATTCTTCACTCGATAGTTTGAGACACATTAGGACCGGGTATATACATCGTTTTCTTTGTGTCTCTCGATCTCTACTTTCTCTAGTTTTTGCTATTATGTTAGATTTAATTTTGTTTTGGTCCATTTTAGGTTTAGTTGATTTATATTTGTATAAATTTTGGCATATTTCAATTTCAACATCTATCCAATTACCAATTTGAACATCTATTAGATTTAGTTGTATTTTATAATTTGTATAAGTTTTGGCTTAGAGGGTAAATCAGAGAAGCATTGAAACTTTGGAAGAAAAGGTAAGAAGGAAAGAGAAAAACCTTGGGTTTGGCTTTTAGTTCTTAAAATCTGGTCACCTGGGTGGTGGAGTTGGACATCAATGGAAGATGATGGTGCAGAACCACCAGCTGTGGAAAAGAAGCCAAACTGCCAATGGAGTTGCCACGCAATTGCTGTTGATCATGAATTCCATATTTAGAATTTGTAAACTTACTTTCTTGCTGTGTTTGATGATGAATATGATTTGAGCGATGTTATTTTGAGTGTTGGTCTCATGGTTCAAATGGTTTAAGAGCAGATTATTATTATTTTTTTAATTTTTGATAAATCTGAGATGTTTAGTTTTCAATTTTTAATTTGACGAAGGTGAAAGTTCTTTATTTTGAGATTTGTTCGTTGGATATCTATATAATAAAACAGCTACCACTTTGAATTTTATTCCCATTATATTTTTCCCCTAAAACTCAACCCAACCCAACCCAAATAGCAATGGCTACCTGCAACACACAGAGCCAAAACCATCTCTTCTCTCTCGGTCTCTTCGCTCACTTCCCCAATTTCACGCTGACAGGCGGCAAGGGTCTCTTCACTGTGCAAACACCATCCCCTCACAACCTCCTCTCTCTCTCTCTCACCCCAACAGCGCCCAGCCCCAGGCTCTCCAGGTATCTCTTTCTCCCCTTCTCTCTTTTCACACCCAAACCCCATCCTCTCTCTCGCTATCCCCAGTTTCACTGTTTGACAAAATTCCCCAAAAGAGCTTGAGTAGGGGTGCTCTGACATTTGGATTGTTGTCCTTTTAGATTGTATCCCTATTCTTTAAGATTTTTTTTAATATGTCTTGCTTGAAGCTGTTTGAAACCATGGGTACTGATCTATATCAGAAGCTTTTATTCTCTAACAGGGTTTTTCCTTCTAAAAAATTTATATTTCTCTAAAGAAGTGTGTAAACATGTCTAATGTGATCAAGACCAGTTATCCCTCACACCATTTGAAGATTTCTTTAAGTTTCTGAACTGCTAACTTCTTTATCCTTCTTCAAGCCTACTCATTTTGACCCTCATCTTTGTGATGTGGCTTCAGTTAGACCATACTTATTGTTACTCTTAACATTGTAAATTTACTGGCCGTGAGATTTTCACATTTAAATTAGTTATTGCCATATAGCATTCTGCAAATTCTTAATGCTGCTAAGAGAGAAGAGCCAAACTAGAGCAACAACCACACTGTTATTCCAACACTTTGTGTTTGCTCCCTCCACCATAGACCAGCTGAGTAGAAGAATTCCCTTATTCCTATAACACTGGACCCACGTGCATGAAAAGTCTATCAATTTCTCATGTTTCAATGATTCTCTTTCTACTGCCTTCACCACTTTGCGGATGAACAAATCCAAATGTTCACATCTAATGCCATGGTCTAAATAATGGAAGCAGAACATTTCATAATTATGAGCATGGCTCTAATTGTTCCACATCATTGTCTAATTTATTATTCTTAAGTGGAAAGTTTCTAGATTAATTCCAAGACTTTTTGGGTAGGGGAGCTGGGTGGGAGCACAAGAGGGATTAGAACATTAATTATATCTAAGTTGCCCCGAAAACCCGCATTATCGAAGATCTAAACATGATTGTTTTCTGACCCCATAGTCATGAATGATTTGAGTAGTGAAAGCTGTGTGTGTGTGAGCTTGAGTTGCAGCCAAAGTAGTGTACAACCATGAGTAAAACTCTCCATAAGATATTCCTTATGCAACAGCCTTTGCTACTTCGGCAATGAAAATTTTCTATGAGAAATAAAATCTAAAATTACTCAAATACAAACCAAGAGCAAAATGCATGTAAAAACTGTGTGATGAAAGCTTAGTGTTACAGATTAGCTACAGAGAATAAAAGCTTCTGATATAGATCAGCACCCATGGTTTCAAAAATGGAGATATAATGTATCACTTTTTTTTGGTTTTGTAGGTTGTGGATTAGGACTTAGTGGGGAGACGTTATCCATGAATGGACACCAATGGATTGGCTTAGATATATCACATTCAATGCTTAGTATGTGGATTCAGGGTTTCTATTGAGTTGGCGTATTGCAACATCACTCTCTCTCTCTCTCTCTACACTTCATATCTTCCAAGTAATCCTAAAGTTGCTAATCCAGATATTGCATTGGAGCATGAGGTTGGGGGTGATCTTATGCTTGCTGACATGGGTCAGATAGCCACTCAAATTTGGAGCTTTGATCTGTATGTGGGTCCAGTTAAAAAAAAAAAATATCTGTGTATGGGACACTTTTAATATGGTATATGGCAGTCAAAAAAGTGTTCTTGAAGTGGAATTATGGGACATATAAACTGTTACTTGCCTATTAATACATCTTCTGAGTTTAGTAGGGAAAAACCAGGAATTCCAGAGGTTGATTATATACTCTGCTTTGATCTAATACCCCCCCTTTTTCTTTGCTTGCCCAATGACTGACAAGATTTCGTTTCTTGGTTTTATGTTGGTAATGGGTTGTTTGATTTTTGCATAATTCCTTAGATTTTTATATTGTTTTATACAAGTTTCAAAGTGGCCTAAAAATTGGGTGAAATAATTAATCAATAATTCACTTATGAATCTATGTAATGATCCATGTTGTTGAAGTTACTTGATTTTGTTTAATTCATAAGTTTGATTGTTTTTTGGAATTTGTTTTGTGGGGGGACTGTTTAGTTTGTGATTTTATGTGGTCTCCAAAGTGGCATGATGTTTGAGTGGTGGTTGAAGAGTAAGTCTTCGTGATATAACTTGGGTGCAATATAGGTTGAGGATTGCAATTGATTTCACAATTTGTTTGTTTTTTAGATGGTAGATTGTGTAATTAGTATTTTATTGATTGTCTATACAAGTTGATAATCTATTGGGATTATATTTTTAGGAGAAATTATGTCCAAATATTTTTAAAAGAACAAAATAAGTATTTTTAGATTAAATAACATAAATGGTACATTCAGGTTTTAACCATCTCTCTAATAACTGAAACAAAAGCATTTTGACCCTTTTTACTTCACTATATTCAGGACATTAAAAATGACCAAACGATTTTTACCTTAATGCATGTTGTTATTTATTGTTTGGTTTATGCATGTTTTTATTTATTGTTTGATTGTTCTGTGTTTAAGAATTATGTACATTGCCTTCAGGCATGTGATATAGAGTGAGTTTAGTTTTTAGTTTAATAAGTGTTCGAGTTCAGTGCTTGAATATTTCGCGTTTAATTTTAATGTTCAATTTTTTTTAGTTGCTCCGTGCCTTCAGGCACGGGTTATCCCTAGTTATTAGATATTGGATATATGTTTAATAATTTTGGGATTTTTGTTTGATTTAATATACATTAAGCATGTTATTTTTACAATTATTGTGATTTTTGAGCCTATTTATTATTATTATTATTATTATATAATTGGTACGACCAGTGACCCATTGACCCGGTCCTTTTCTCAGGTTGATATCTGGGTCGGGTTTTAAAACTATGCTACTCCTAGACCCATGAGACTACCTTCATATTTAAAATATTACACACAAATTCCTTAAAATTTGTACGTGCAAAAAACAAAGACTCTATGTCGTTAGTATATACATTAGTAAATTTTATTCAGGTCCTTGAAATTTAAAACTTATAATACTTAGATTTTTCAAGTTTAAAATATTACATTTAGATAAAAAAAATACTCTAATTAAAAATAAAATATCAAATATTTTAAATTTTATAACTAAAATTTATATTCTATTATGTCATTTATTGAAATAAAATTAAAAATAAAAATTCAATTTTTTCTTACAAAAATCATAATTAGTAATGTTGATATCAAATTTTGGACGACCTAGGCGTCAGTTTGTTGGGCTTCGGTCACCAGAAAAAAAAAAAGGTCTGAAACTAGAGGAGAGCTCTAGGGGTCGACACTCCGATACTAAGTCAGTAAGTGATTCAAAGATATAAATTGTGATTAGAAACTAAGTTGAGCATCAATGGAGCTCTATGTATAGAAATTTCAACAGTTTGAATTGTGTAGAGATAATGATAGAAGATATAATCAATCATAGAAAAGAAAAGGATTATGTCCTTATAAACATAGTTTTAAAACGCGGCCCAGACGTCAACACGACAAAGGGACCGGGTCAATGAGTCACTGATTCAACCGTTGGGTCGCTGGTAGGACCGGTAATATAATAAAGAATTATAAATATTAATAAATAAGCTAAAAAATTACAATAATTATAAAAATAACATCAAACATGTAAAATTAAGGAGAGAAAAATCATCAAACATATATCTAATTTCAATGTATTCAATTTTTAATACAACTTATAAAGTTAAGTAGAGAAAAATATCTCTATTAAAATTCATGGCTCCAAGTCTAAGTCTAACTTTTCAAATATGCATCATAATTTGCACTCTTCATTCCACTCGTTTAATTACAAAGACAAATACTTGGGGTGAACCCAATCAAAATCTTATAAACTCAGAAACTCCAACTTTATAAGTGGCCACCTGGGCATACATTGCAACACAAACAAAGAACACAAATAGCTCAAATACCAAAAGAACTCTATCAAAAAAAACAAAGAGTAAAGAAAAAACAAAGATAAGAGAAAATCAAATGGAAAATAACACATACCCACTGGTTCTTGAGGGTTTGTCAATGAAAAAGAAACCTAGATACCCACTGGTTCTTGAGGGTTTGTTAAT